TGTAGGGAAGCTACGGAGTTTTATTTAAGAACAAGGCACGCAAATATTTCAGCAATGGCCTGGGGATCCCTGGTAACTTTTAACAGGAGAGGCAGACTCCCTAACAACCTTCCAGATCTCTGGTTATGTGCCAGAACATCCTGAGCTTTGCACAGTGGGTGTGGAAGTGTCATCCAAGACCTGGTCAAGGCAACTTGCCTGAAAAATAGATGCTCTTCTCTTTACTTACATTTACAAGTAAGTATTTAAGCAAGGAAGTAGTAGGTTTAAAAATATAACTATAAAAATTACTATCAGTTGAAATGTCTTCAAATGCCTTCAGAAAAAGCTCTCTCTCTCTTTCAGGACTATTTTAAATTGGGACAAAAAAAGAGGTGCACAAGGAAATGTAATTCTTCCTGTAGATGCTCTATTTCCACCCCCTCTTTAGAATCTCTTTCTTTCTCTACATGTATACACTTCAAAACATGTACATAAATATATATACACGTACATACCTCCACACCAAGTTAGCTCTTAGGACATGCATTCTTGAGATGAGTTTCAAAATGGCTACAAGGCAATGGCAACAAATAAAAGGTCCTTGGTAAATCTATCCTCCGAAGCACAGATCTATTCAGCTTGAGATGTGGTTTACACATCAAGATAGCCTGGCAGCAAACTTTCTTCAGCTGCTTTTGCAAATATTTTTCACCATCCTTACATGCCCTTGTCTGGATGCATTAAGTTCCTAAGATTTGTGTCTTCCTTAGTGACTCATCAGCTTTCTTTTCGTCTTTTCTCAGGATAATATCAAACAAAACGTTCTGCCAATTCATTTGTGGTTTTGTATGTTCATTCTTTGCCTGATGCAATTTTCAGAGTATATTGTGAGTACTAAGGTAGCAGGAGATAGCTGGTGAAGGCATATTTCAAGATATGGACACCATTAGTCTTGAGCACACAACCGCCACCACAAATGGGCAAAGAAACTATCAGCCCTTGAGAATCAGACTGAAATTCACATAGATTTTAAGCACCTCTGAAACATGCATCATGTAAGTCATGGAGGGCCTGAACGCAGATATAGATAAAAGCACACAAGTCTGAATTCTTTTGGTCAGAAAGGGCGCAATGAAACTGCCAAAACTCAGTCATCTTAATTCACACAGAGATTTTTGACAGCAAAGATTTTTGCAACCTCGGCTTGGCTCTCCTTCGTTTTGAATATTTGCCCTAACATTTGTTTAGAAAGAAGGCCAAACCAGCAGTACTTTTCATGTTTTAATTACACAGAGTGCACGCTGGATGTGATTCCCTCTTTTCCTATGTACCTTCTACAGTGTAAACAAGGGCAACAGGCTGGCTGTTGTTATCCTTCCAAGAACAAATTCCTGTTTGCAGCCAATATGGCTCAGTTTCACAGAAATCCAAATCAATTCTCTGGTACTGAGGTAACAAACAGTAACTTGATTTTTCCT